TGTGAGCTGCGTCCGCAGTACGCAGCCGCCGGGAAACAATGGCGGTCGTGTACCTGCTGAGCCTGGCGGTGGCCGACCTCCTCTTCCTCTGCATGCTGCCCTTCTGGGCCGTGGATGCTGACAAAGGCTGGGACTTTGGCGACAGCTCCTGCAAAATGGTATACGCGGTTTACAGGATCAACTTCTTCAGCAGCATGTTCCTGCTCACCTGCATCAGCGTAGACCGCTACATCGTCATCGTGCAGGTGACCAAGGCCCAGAACTTGAAGAAGAAACGGCTCTTCTACAGCAAACTGGCCTGCTTGGGAGTCTGGACCATCTCCATTCTCCTGGCTCTGCCTGAGTTTATCTTTGCTCAGGTGAAGGCTTCTAACGACAGGCAGGTCTGCACCATGTTGCTTTGGAAAAACGCCCACAACCAGACTAAGGTCCTGGCCTTCTCCCTGCAGATCTGCATGGGCTTCTTTCTCCCTCTGCTGGTCATGATCTTCTGCTACTCCATCATCATTCGCACGCTCCTGCAGGCCAAGAACTTTGAGAAGCACAAGGCGCTGCGCGTCATCTTTGCGGTCGTGTTGGTGTTCATCCTCTCCCAGCTCCCTCACAATGTCCTGCTGATGGTGGAAGCGTCGGAGGCGGCCAACGCCACCATCACTGACTGTAAAGTGTTGATCGCGGTTGACAGGGCAGGACAGATCGCCAAGATTCTGGCCTTCACTCACACCTGTCTGAACCCCTTCCTGTACGTCTTCATCGGAGTCCGCTTCAGACAGGACCTCCTGAGGATTGTGAAGACGTGCACGGGATCAGGAACCTCCTTGAAATCCAGCACGGTTCCCAAACGCCCGTCCATCATGTCAGACACAGACACCACCCCTGCTCTGTCCTTATAATCCTGCAGTGGACTCTTCAGGTTTCCATGTCGTTCCTTTATGCATTAACACAGATGGATTTGTAAATGTACTGCATTTGGGATTTAGCAACACCTAGTGGTAAGGCTACAAGGTCTCAAACACCAAACTGGAGGAGAAATTGGGTCATCTGGTGGACAAATAGGGAATAATCATATGTCTGTTATGGGCCACAGCTGTTAATGAGTCACCCATGTGGACAACCTGTTAATAACACACGACCTCTTGGCATTATTTTATGATTTATATAATTAGGTCTCTATAAAAGTGCATAGATAATAGGTCACATTCTGAATATCAGATGTGGGTCACATAATGTCATCAATGTACTACTGTTTCTGGGCCTCCAAATTGTGTGGATCGTACCCACATTCCAGTGCTCTGTATCAGTGAGAGAATCACAATACGTATTAGCCTTTGGTGGCTAGTCCAGCAGAGAGAAGGCCACAACTTTATCCAAAACTCTCTCTACTAGCCAACATTTTCTGTAAGCCCATAAATGGGATATAAGCCTGGGCATCAAATATGGACCACTGAGGGTTAAAGTTAAAGTTTGGTCCAAATCTGAACAGATACAAGTTTGGCTTTGTTGGTTGAATTAGACCATTGGGCCACATGTGTTGGACTTACACCACTGTTTAAACTTAATCCAGGCATAAGAAATGGATCTCAGAATGAAGTGACTCACATTGATACACAGGTAGTGCACCAGCATTGAAACTGTCTAAATGTATATTTGTGTAAATACTCTTCTGCGTTTACTCTACTGGTGTTCATTACATACTACGAGTCGTGTTTATTTTTGTGCTGCTGTCTGTTGAAAAAAAAAAACCAACTGTGAGATGTGTTTCACTATCAAAACCACAAATAAAGAATTTGAAAAAAATCTCAAGGATGAAGCCGTTTTTCTTTTTAACTCAGTGTTTTGTCCTTACTGCACAAAAACGTTTGCTGCAGAGAAATGACTCAGCAGTTTCAGTTGTAGATTTAAAACAATGATGCAGCAATCCATAAAGAGATCAACAAGTGTAGTGTCCCCAATGTGGGAAAGTGTTGAGAGTGCGCTTTCACTGGTGTAACGCACACGTCCTGCGGTTACAAACAGACCCGTGAACCCGTCTCGTCTGGTCCACAGACTTTCTCGGTTTGACTCCATATCCTTCTGCCAACTGTCTGTGCCACCGCCGTGCTGACAGACTGCGAAGTTAGTCGCCGTCTGACTTTTCTTATGACTTGGCAGTTTCACAATTGATGTTGTTAGCGTTGGTGGCTACAGAGGACGTTTTACCACATTGGTCAAGTGTTGTTTGCAGCTCATAGTCCGGAAAGAGACGACATCGTCAAAAAACGAGTAGCTATAAATCAGTATATACAGTCAGAAAAAAAAATTGACCTTAAAGCCCCCGTCACCCAGTCTAACGTGACTACCAGTAGTTTCCATTAACCTTCAGAGACAGTTATAGATCTGCAGCCTGTTTTGTGGAGTTCCACAGGGTTCAATTCTAGGCCCCATATTTCTTCCCTTTATAGTTCTGTTTTACGAAGGTAAATAAAAAATCTATTAAATCTATACTTTTAGTTCAGCTGTTGCTTAACTGTCCCCAGTAACTGAGCGACGAAGCGTTTCCCTTTGTGACTCCTGGAATCACCTCCTACCCACTGATATTTTACTTTTACTGATACTGCAACTTGAGAATTGTGCAGTTATCTTTCCTAGACCATGAATTTATATAGTATTACTTTGTTTTTAGGTCTAAACATGTAAACGTACATTATTGGACAAAGGTTGGTTTTAAATCTGCAATCTCCAAATACACGAGGTGACGAGTTGGAGCTGAAAAGACACAAACAGAAGAAGACAAGAATTATCGAGAGCATCATCAAACACGATCTACTGCACTGGCTTGTTATTGTGGCCACTGAGGTTGGCCTCAGACATTTGCAGTCTGTACCTGCTGAGCTCAGGTGAGACCACAGAGACTTTTCTCCTCTACCTTTGAACACTGTTCTTTATCTCTCTCACGACAGGAAACCATCAGTCAAGTCAATAACAACATGCATAGTCGAAGCCTCAGGAAGGATGGTGCCAGGAGCCTTGGCAGATGTTTTGCATTAGACTGAACCAGAGAACAGTGACGCTGATATGAGAAAACCACTGAAAACAGCTCGGGTTTGTTCTCATGGTGCTGGCAAAGATGTCGAACTCTGAAGGTGTGCATTGACTTAAACAGCTTGACAATCGGTGTATTGCAGTATATTTGAATACAGCACTGAACAGTTGTTCCCCTGAGCCTGTCGACTTCCTAACACCTTAAACCACCGAAACTGTGCAATGTAATTATGCAAAGTTTAGATTAAAAAAAAACCCAACTTATTTATTGCATTCACACTTCAGTGAGGAGATAAAGTTGTTGGAGGTTTTATTTATGATGTTAAAATATTTGATTTAAATTAACTCCTTGAATTTCAGAGTTTTGCTCATTGCAATAATTGACCAAAAAAAGTAGGATATACAGACCAAGAAGGTGAATTAATGCTGTAAAACATATATATATATATATATACACACATATATATATATACATATATATATATATATAGTATACTTGCGTTATTTGTGTATACAAATGTGTATATTGTTGCTGGGAATCTATTCATTGGCCTATATATTTTTTTTCTACTGTAAATTGTGAACAAGTTAATACAATTCTATCGTTTATTTACATTACCACAACAGAATGCAGTTTCCATTTGTGTTGCTTTTGGTCACTTCCACCACAAGGTGGAGCAGCTTGATCAGCAGAGGAAGTATGTGATTTTGGTATCGGTGTCAGACATGCATTAACAGGGTAGAATGACAACAACGCCATCTTGCGGTGACTGAAACGCCTACGTTTGAGTTAAAATGAATATTTTCTCTAAATTTAAATCTTTAACAGCTTCTAAAAGAACGAAAACGCAAAAACGAATTATCTTCAAATATTAATAATCAGCGGATTTAAAAAAAAAAATTCTAAAAAGATGTGAGGAGTAATGTTGTGAGGAAAGAGAAAGACTCACAAGTGGAGCAGCACCTGTGCTTGGGGAGCAGCCCATCCATCTTCGTGCACAGGAGGGAATTGTATGAGTGTGTTCCTGTGTGTGTGTGTGTGTGTGTGTGTGTGTGCACGTGAGGAAGAGAGAGGGATGAATGGAGAGCGTGAAAGACTTTATGACTAATAGGAGAGAGGTAGTACGCATATGGTTTTACCGTCGCCCTACAGTCATGTTTTTTCATGGTTGTGTCGTCATGTCGAAAAGTCATGAGACCAGTTGTAGTCTTTTCGACAACAACAAAAACAACAAACAACAAAAAAGAGGCTAAAAAAGTATACACAAAAATTAGAAAAAAAAAATCAAAACAAAAACCCAAATACCTTTCTTCTGGATTAGACGGCGTCTTCGTACCACTGCAGCGTCGGATAAAAGAAATGTAATGGAACTCGGACCTCCACAATTCCAGCCCAAACGGGGAGCTCCTTATCGTCCGCCATCTCTCCCCCACAGCTAATATTTCACTTCAGCTCCTGGGCCCACAGAATGAGAGACGTTTCCATTTCATGTCAGTCATTTCCAGGCCTGTGTGTTACCTGTGTGGTGATAAGTGTTTGACTGACTGGGAGTGTCGTTAGTCACTGTCCAGCTCCAGCTGACAGCCCGCAGATTGACGCCGATGATGAGGAGGAAGAAGAAGAGGAGGAGGAGGTTTTCAGCGACAACAGCAATAAAAGAAAAGATGGAAAAACGGCGTGAATGTCAACAGAAGAGAAACACATTTATACACAGATGATAACGGATACAACGGTCGGCCATGATGGATTAGGTGAAACTGGATGTTCAAATATATTTGAATAGTTTCCTACTGTTAATTGTATATATATTTACTTCTACCAGAAACAGAACCTATGAACTACACAGGTATATTAGGCTACTTTGGCTGATGTTTATCCCCAGTTGGACTCAAACCCCTCACCATATGTCACCCATTCTTTTAAAATTTTTAAAACACCAACATTTAGATATCTGACCCATATATGCATACTAGATGTGGAGCAGATACATTTGGCTGCAACAATGCAGACCAGGGTTTTCCAGACTAAATGCAAAAAAATCACCAAATGTGGGCCACATTCAATTAACCTGATGTACACCAGGCAGTCACAGGTATATATTTTATTACCATTTGGATATCTTACCCATATTTGGATATTGGATGCTGCCCATATTGGAAGCCTAGGGTTTCTTTCTTTGTGCTCCATCCCTGGGTCAGAACAGTCTTAACTGTGTGGGAATAACAGAAGATGGTAAATATTTAACAATGACAGTGAAGCAGACGATGACAAAGAGGTGAAGTCAGTGAAGGACTCAGACAGGAGCTGCTCTGACTCCACCTCCAGTCTGACTGTGGTTCATCCAGGGGGGAAAGTGAAGGAAATAAGACCAAGAAGTGCAATCCTCCAACTTCTCTGAACCATGTTTTCACCCTCACAGACTCCGCTCTTTTTTTTTTTTTTACCTTTTACCTCCTCTTCTAGAAACCAGGCAGCAAAGCTGTGAGATGGATGAGCTGAGCGTTGCAACGGTTTCCAAAAGTGAACGCAGTCTGACTGCTGCTCCACCTGAGGAGCAAAAACAAAAGAGTCCTCTCTACCTGTAGGACTGTGGGAGTCGAGGCTTTGATCTGGACCAGAAAGAAAGAGTAGTTTGATGAAATATTGATGCTTTTTTTTAACTGTGTCCTGTGGGAGCTCAGCCTGCTCTCAGGATGTGTGCGCAGATCCACCATTGGCTGGCTGGATGAGAACCGACTTGACTTTGTGCCTCAGAGACTCTAATTGGCTGTAATGGGTCTGATGATGATGATGGTGATGATGACCAATCACCCCCACCGCCCCGACTAATGGGCCTGAAATGGTCTGGGACTTTTTGTTGGTGATGGAAAGTTGGCATATGTGCCTTTAATCAGTCGGGGGGCGGGGGTGGAGAATACACACGTATAAAGAGTGTGTACTCTGTGTACTGACAGCCGAGCCTGTACCTGACTGAAATCTTTATCTGCTGCCGGACGAGTAATAAACACAGGTGCAACAATATGAACATCTGTGATTAAATGTTAAAGTTTAAACAGTTAAAATAATTTCTGAGGTAATGCTGATCTTTGGTGGTTAACTTTTATTTATCTAATCAATAATTTCGTCAATTTGCAGCCTGACATTTTGCTAACTTTTAGGGAAATACTTGGCCTATGGTCAACCATAAATAAAGTAAGCAATTATTTTGATTATCTGTTTAATTAAAATGATCATAACTATTAAAATATACTCCATTTAATGAAGGGGTGTTTTTCTGTTTTTCTTCAAATGTGAGACAACTTTCAGAGCAGCATAAACATTTAAATCCAACCTTAGTTTTTACTAATATGCGCTGCATATGTTTGTTTTGGCAACGTGTCCTGCACGCTGATGCGTTTTCACTATTCAAATATGAAAACCACGGCTGAGTCCAGGCCGTGTAAAACCATTCCAAGTCAACGCTGAGAAAGTTTTACTGGAGTTTATACGAGAGTGACCCAAATACTGAACGCAACAATGATCCCCACTTAAAAAAATGTGACTGAATAATGATAAGTGCCTTGAGTGTTTTTGTCTGAAAGTTAAGAAACCAACACTGTCCAATCACAGAGGAAAAGAGTGTGAAAATGAGAAAGGGGGGTGCAGTGGGGCTTTCATACACTGAGATATTCGACTTATGTGGAAAGAGGAAAAAAAAAAGCAGAATGATTATTTCAACTTGAAGGAAGAGGCGGTGAAAGGGGTCGGGGAGGTGGGGGAGGCGAGGGTGATGGTGTGGAGGAGCCAGGGGCAGCAGATAGTCTGGGAAAGGTCTGGCGTTAAAGTGGAATTAACATGCCTTTCCATTGGAGTCCATTAGATAATCATATTCATACCACACAAGGCTCCGAAACCCCTCTCTGTTTCATTATTCCCTTTTAATCCGGCCTGATAAGGCGGCGCAGGCGACGTGCTTTTATTATGTCGTCATTTAGAATCCACATGAAACCCCCCCGGGACGTTATCACAGGGAAATTGCTTAAATAGCCCAAGTGGATATACTGTAGTTGTGCGTTTATTATTTCTGACGGATTCAAAATAACCGCAAATATCCCCGCGCCTGATTATTGGGGGCCGAGGGTCTTATCAGTCATTCACACTAATGGCCCACTCAAGCCACTCGATAGCTACAGTGGGGGAGGGGGGTGGAGGAGGTGGTGGGAGGGAAGACGTTGGCAGGGAGTGCTGCGTTCGGTGTACTGCGTGTACTACAGGTATACTACATGAAAAGAGCGGGTGTAGGTGGAGGGGGTGTATGGGGGGGTGGCGTCAACGCAGCCGTGTTTTTTATGTCCGTGGATCTGGGACGAGGAGCTCAGTGAAGCTGATGTTTGTTCAGTGTCGATTAGCAAACACTCCGACTGCTGCCTCTCAGTCCACACCAGCGGCCGACAAGTTCAAACAAACGACCTTCATCTGACACACGTGCTGTGTTTACACGACACTGGAGAAAACACACTTATTGTCTCCACCAAACCTCTTTAAACCATAGGTTTACGATGGGGTTTTTTCACCGACGTACCACCAGGTCAAATATCTGAGCTGCTTCAGAGATACGTACCAGTCAGAAAGTTCTAAGACGACCAGAAAACAGGCGGTTTTCATTAACTACGGACAGCTGTGGAAAATACAAATATTTTAGAAATTAGCTAAGAACTTTGGAAATCTGACAGGGAAGAATAAATTAAATAAATGAATAAATTTGAATAGAAAAAAAGCTACCTGACAATTAGGGCAAAATGGCCAAGAAATTCAGGAAAAGACCTCTAAAAATTAACCAACAGTTAAAATAAAATGGCTAGTACGGGGCTGTTAAACTAAAATGTAGTTAACTGCAAATTAATTAAATGAGCTAAAATATAACTATATGTCAGCACTGAAACAAACAATGAAACAAAACCTGAAGATTTAACAAGAAAAACTCAAAACATTTTTTTACTGTCAGACCAAATCAAATGTATTAATAAATAAACACACTGGACTAGAATAATAAGTAAGCTACAGTTTTAGTCAACAGGTTCTAAGAAAAATTAAAAGACCAAAAATCAAAATCTTCTTATAAAAGTAAACAACCTTAAATAAAAAGTAAAAAGCTTACTAGTTTAAGTCCGAACATTTCAACAAGTGTTGTTTCCGTCAAAGAATTTCTTCAGTGTGGAACGTCTTTGACACCGGGTCACCTCGTTTAAGGACAGAGGACAAACGCTCTCTGAACTGCAGAAGACATAACACGGCTGTGGACAGCTGTCCTGTCGTCTGTCCGTCCGGGCCGCAAGTCTGCGGATCATCCGGGGGCAGTAGACAGAGCGGTGGTCTCAGCCGTGACAGCTTCCAGAAATCACACTAAAAACCACATTTGGACTGGTACCATAAGTGGGAGAGATTTACAAAACGGAACGTGTAAGAACACAGCAACGTTGCTGCTGTTGTTGTTGTCTTCCTAACTGTTCTTCCTTTTCTTCCAGAGGAGAAAAAAAACCCCAACAACAACAGCACGGTGATGGTTGAGATGTGAGAATTTAAAGGCCAGAGGTCAGCGCCGCAGCAGCGCTCTGGGGTTTGTTTGCTGCTGATTAACAAACAGTCGCAGTGTCGGCTCACACTGAACAGTACTTGTAGATTAGAATCAGCAAACACCTTTATCTGACAGTGACAGTGGAGATAAAGACAGTCAGAGGAAGAGGGTGGAGGGGGCGCAGGGGGGGACTGCAGTCTTTACATTTACTCCAATGTAAAGTTCAGGAAGTTCATCAGTTACCGCCAGAATCCAAACTTACTGTACAAAGTTCAGGAAGTTCATCAGTTACCGCTAGAATCCAAACCTTTTTACTGTAAGGCAGGGGTCTTAAACTCCTGGCCTGGGGGCTGCTTGTGGCTCACAATGCATAGTTTAAATATTTCAGTTGAAGAACGAGGGAAAAAAAAGATTTACCCCTTTAATCCTTGATTTATGGTTATGGTTATTTGAAAAAAACAAAACAAACAAAAATATATTAACCACGTGTTTTTAATGATAAAGAAGGACTTTGTTTGCGTTTATAAAAACTGACTCCTGGAAAAGGAAAACAAAGATTACATCCAGTCGGGCTAACATCCAAGCCCTGGACACGTTAGCACTCAACTAAACTGTGATACACATTTCCTCCTGTATTTAAAATAATTTATTGCCAAACTGATCCACAAAGTTTGGAGATATTTATTAAATCTGTGTCTGTGTTTCCGTAGTAGAAAGCACAGCTTCATGGGTCAAATTTCCTGTCGGTCTTTTAGCGTGAGCAGAGTTGGAGACAGTAATCAGATCCATAACTCAAGTCACAAACGTCCAGTTTGGCAATAAAATACTACATTAAGAAGAAGGAAGTCCGGCTTCTCGCGGGTTTAGGACGTTAGAGCCTTTACCTGGAATTGAGTGCAGGTATAATGAGACGTGAAACCGCAGTAATAAAATGTGTACTCGACTACAGTGCTCACATAAGGAGCCTTAGACGTTAGCGTCTACCTCTGGTGGCACTAGCATCAGAGCTAATGAAGTCAGACATTTTTCTAGACGCTAAAAAAAAAAAAAAAGAAGTCCAAAAAACATTTTTGGTTGTCTTTCATTTTTAGAAAACAAGACAAGCAGATGGGAAACGTAAGCAGCAGCAGATGTTACTGTGACATGTAACAAAAGGCTTTACGTAGAATAAAAAATTACCAGAAATAAAATGTAGTAGGAAAAGAATCTGTAGCTAAGTGACTTTACGTAGAATAAAAAATTACCAGAAGTAAAATGTAGTTCCAAGGAAAAGAATCTGTAGCTAAGTGGCTATAAGTTTTACAAAAATATAAAAATATTTTAGGCTAACAATTTAGTTATCAAATACTTGATTTTTTTCTACTTACTCCCATCTTATTTTTCAAAAACAAAAACTTAAAACCATTGTTAGCCTTACCTTTACTTATAGATGAAGTCCATGGTTGTATCTCTCGGTTTTCCTTCACCTTAGCATTGTGATGCTAATGTTTAGTGTCCGTTGTTCATCCAATGCCGAGTTAGTCCGGACGTTATCACACGATAAGAGTAAAAGATAAGGAAACCAGTAATGGCGGTTTCTAACAGGACAGACACACAGCCAGTCTTTTCGTTTGTACCACTCCATTTGATAAAAAAAGACTCTTCTGCCCCGTAGTTTAAAGCTAACGTCTTAGCTCCGGCGTTGGTCTTCCATCACTAATCATCTTCTGTGTGAACCGGAAGTCCAGTTTTAAGAAATGTTTCCGTTTTGAAAAATAATCCAATCAGAGCAGGCGCAGCATAGAAAACGCTGTTCTTCACCTACTAGCTCTAGCTTAGCATCGACTTTCAATTTCCTGTTGAAGCCAGCTGGAGAGCACCTGTCAGTTCACGTACAACCCCTTGAGGTGAGACGGAGTACTGTTTGCCACCGCTGCTGACTTTTCTCTGCACTATCCAAAATTTAGGAGCAGAGATTTTTTGAAAATTATTTAGGTTTTAGCCTAAATTTTAAATAAAATTTTTATTTTTATTTAAAAGTTAGTTTTTACTAGCTGTGTAATTACCAACAGTTAGCCTAACTATAATAGCTAAAAGCTGTGATTAGTCAATATCAGCTGAAAGACAATAAAATGCAAAAAAAAAATTGACGTCAGACGTCTTTAGAAGTGATAAATATTTTGTTTTCGTCAGTGATCAATGTACAAAAATTGTTTTTTCTTTCACTGACTCTGTGACTGTTTCGCCTTTTAGGAAACAGACACACAGATGGGAAACATGAGCAGCAGCAGAACTGCTGTGACAGGCAACAAAAAGCTCAGGACTGGTGTCAAACCACAGGCATCGCAGCCCAGTTTAGTACGAGTCTTAACCACAAGGACGGCAGATGTCCCGTCACGACTCCTCATCATAACAATCCCCGGGGAACTGTCTTCACTTTTCCAAAGGACATTTTTCTTTGTTGGAAACTGATTGCAGATGAGAAAATATGTATTGTTACAGTTCAGACAAATGAAACCATCAAAACATGGAGAGGGCTTAAAACCAGACAGTTGTTCCAGGCAGAGTGAAGCAATTACGGACGATGTGGGAGTTGAAAATCCATGCAAATGGAAGTGGAGAGTGTGTGAATACAAATGTCCTTCATTAGAGACCGAGTGACAAACAGCGACATCAAAGTGACAGGGATTAAAGGGCCGCGAATGTCCACAGAAAAAGTTGGAGAACCTTTCTCAAAACACAGGAAAATTGTATGTATACAATAAAATGATTGGTCCAGATCTGGTAGATTTTTGAGACTTTTTGGCTGTAGGAGACCAACTTACAGCCAAACAGTCTCTTGGAGCCATCTTCTAAACTTTACAGGAGGGCAGCCATTTTGAATTTTACGTCAATCTCTTTTGGACTTTCAGCACCTCCTTCCAGAGCGGAGGCTGATTGAAGTAGGGCCAGATTGGACCAGACTCCGCCTTCTGTGACAATGAGGACTATAATGAAGTCAAATACAAACACAAAAGAGTTAAAGAAATGACTTTAGTCTTTAGTTACAGCGGTCTGGTTAGTGTGGATAAACAGTATACAGTGTACTGTAAATCTATCCATCCATTATCATCCTTTTCACTTAAAAACCCATCCTAAAAAACTATCATTGAGAGTACTCAGTATTGGTGAGTACACAATGAAAATACTCGTACTTGTAACACTTGTATTTATCAGGTATCAGGACAACCCTACAGTAGATACTGCACATACATAAATACTGCAACATTTCTAAATTCTTAAATACATAACTCCTTATCCTGGTGTATTTAAAATTTAATTATTTTTTTTAGCACTGACTTTCATCGACTTTCATCGCTGGAACACAAGCTCCTCACTTGCAACAGAGAGTTTTTTGTTTTTTTTTACTGACTATTAACTTAAACACTGCTCAGCTGTGAAAATGGCAGGACGGCGTGTCATATTCTCGCGCCGGGCTTTTTCAGCCGTCACATCTGTGTGGATATAATATGCTTATTCTGCCGTATCCATTTCACAGTGACATCTGTCCAGCAGCACGGAATTAAAGGCAAATATCCAGATGCCTACACAACATTCTGCCAACTATTGATTTACTGTTGCTGGTGTAACATACGTGGACACACTGAGCGCCACATATTATTTCACTGAGATCACGGCCCAAAGCTGGGAACGCACTCTGTCGGCTCACCATTATTTGAAAAATAAGCGCAAGGAGCAGATGTTGGTCTTCAGCGCAGTGTGTCTTTCTTCACACCCTCGACACTGTATATGTGTGTATGTGTGTGCGTACGCTACTTTCTGCCAACTATTTTGGGCCTTTGCGCCGTTCATGCTGAATTTTTAGCTCCAAAGGTCAAGATCGGGACCAGCAGCAGCTGGAACTCCAGTTCCGACTGGATGCCAATGTTGATGCTTTGCTGTAAAAGACACTTAATCCCAAGCTGTGTCCTCCCTGTGCTGGATAAATTGGGGGGGTAAAGGAGGGGGGTGATCCGGAAGGGCATCTGGCATAAAACCCTGTGACAAATCACGTATGTGGATGATCCCTGAAGAAGAGGGCAGCTGACGAAAACCTGCTCCTAAAACGGCAGAACCTCCATTTCTGACCGGGATCTTTTAGTTCCAGGAAAGATTTTCTAGAAATGGGGGCAAAGGGTGTTGGGCAGCCAGAGGAGGGGTGGGGGGGCAGTGGTACAATTGTTATTTGTCATGCAGGAGGTTTCAGGTTTGATTCTACCTGGTCCCCCCTTAAAAAAATAAATAAATAAAATCAAGATATGCTTCTGTCAGGAACTCAAGTTCTGTAATTTTATTGGAGGTTTCAGGTTTGATTCTACCTGGTTCTCCCAAAAAATAAAAAAATAAAAGATTTGCTTCTGTCAGGAACTCATGTTCTGTAATTTTATCGTACCGTTCTGCTCCCCTGGTTCTGGTACTAACTGTGTGTGTTCGGTACTAGTGAGCGTCTACCTTGCTGTGGGTGCACCTCCCTGTCTGTGGATCTCAGGGTCTGGAACAAACAGTAGTTCCTTCTTAATTGGGGTGAGATGGGGGGCTTAAAGGGGGCCAAGAAGGGACCTGAACCCCCTTTCTTTCTCCTGCAGAATCGCTTTGGCTACAGAGGTGCGTTTGATGTGTGCTTTGGCTCAGTGGGTCCTACTTTGGAATATGTTCTTGGGAGACCATTGGTTACTTGCCTCCAGGCAGAATCTCAATCCCTAGGATCCTGGCCCTCTTTGATGAAATACTTTCGGGAGCCGCTAACCCCACTGATGCCCATGTGCTCCCCTCGACTCCCCTCCTTTTCCCTCTCCTGCCTCCCTTTACCCTCTTGTTCTCCCCCACCTATCCACCTCCCACCTCCACGTTCCTCAGATTCTCTTTGAGAGATTCATAACAAGGACTTTATCTCTGTGTAGTCCGGGGCCAGATGAGCACCGACCTGACAAACTGACAGGAGAATTAGACGTGTCTTACAGAGAATCTTTGATTGTCTCCTCTCCCGCCCCGTCTCTCTCTCTCTCTCTCTGGTTCTCTATCTCCCTCCGATCTGCTGTCGTCACTGACACGTATGTTTTCAATGCAAAAAAAAGCCTCGGGCCGCCGTAGATTTATTGTTTAAGAAACGCTAATAATTGAAATTTGTTTCAGTTTGTCAGTCTTTTTTAAAAATCAAGACAAACAGGAAATTTGCAGAATTCAAACCACAAGAAAACTGTCATCGTCATGTTGATTTTCAATAATGAAATTCAAGGACGTCAGTAGCTGAAGATCATCATGATTTTTAATCTAAACTAAATCTAACCGCTAAAACCCTGAGGTAGAGTGTGTAGAAAATGTTTTAAAAAGGATATTTATTTAAAATGCACCACAACAATGTGTTCACCTGCAGCGATGACGCCCTCTGTTTGTAATCTTTCTTTTTCTTTAGGTCACTTGCAATGTGAACCCAGTAGGTGGCAGTAGGCGGCAATCCAGAGATGACAATTACCATCAAATGTCATAGAAGAATGATCATTATTTCAGCTGATGTTTGTTAACTCTAAACCTTTGTATCAATTTTTTATATATATATTTTGTCCCAATTCTTACGTAGGTGTACAGCCCCACTGCTCAGAGCTATAGTATCAGTGCATTTCCACCATATGCTGTTATTAGGTGTATTTTTTCATAAACAATACTACTGTACTTTAAATTGTGTATAGCACCCCCTGGAGGGGAGTCAGAAGGAGCTGCACAAAAATATGATAAATATCAAAATTACCAAGACAATGGGTGTTGATTCCAGACATACTGAAAAAAAAAATCTTAAGTTTAAACAATAACAATAGGAATTTAACAAAAATAATTTTCTCTTTGTTTGTGATGCATTTTTTAACAGACATGTTTGAAATTTAATCTCTTTCTTTTATAATAAATAATATATACAGTATATATTTTTCATAACATGATAAAAATTAAGCCGTTTAAATCCATCTTCCAACGTGTCAGACTCGTCAGAATCGAAGCCCGGGTTTGAGTTTATTGACGACGAAGACGTTGACAGCTGTGACAGAAGATCTTAATCTCTGATTGATCCAGGCGGTAATTAGCCAGTGACGCCTCAATTAGATGAACCATGGGAAAAAGTGTTTACGTTTGAAAAAAAAAAAATAATGTGAATTCAAACCCCTCCAACGATCCCAGTTCTCCAGAATCTTTGATTGTCTCCTCTCCCGCCCCGTCTCTCTCTCTCTCTCTCTGGTTCTCTGGTTCTCTATCTCCCTCCGATCTGCTGTCGTCACTGACACGTATGTTTTCAATGCAAAAAAAAGCCTCGGGCCGCCGTAGATTTATTGTTTAAGAAACGCTAATAATTGAAATTTGTTTCAGTTTGTCAGTCTTTTTTAAAAATCAAGACAAACAGGAAATTTGCAGAATTCAAACCACAAGAAAACTGTCATCGTCATGTTGATTTTCAATAATGAAATTCAAGGACGTCAGTAGCTGAAGATCATCATGATTTTTAATCTAAACTAAATCTAACCGCTAAAACCCTGAGGTAGAGTGTGTAGAAAATGTTTTAAAAAGGATATTTATTTAAAATGCACCACAACAATGTGTTCACCTGCAGCGATGACGCCCTCTGTTTGTAATCTTTCTTTTTCTTTAGGTCACTTGCAATGTGAACCCAGTAGGTGGCAGTAGGCGGCAATCCAGAGATGACAATTACCATCAAATGTCATAGAAGAATGATCATTATTTCAGCTGATGTTTGTTAACTCTAAACCTTTGTATCAATTTTTTATATATATATTTTGTCCCAATTCTTACGTAGGTGTACAGCCCCACTGCTCAGAGCTATAGTATCAGTGCATTTCCACCATATGCTGTTATTAGGTGTATTTTTTCATAAACAATACTACTGTACTTTAAATTGTGTATAGCACCCCCTGGAGGGGAGTCAGAAGGAGCTGCACAAAAATATGATAAATATCAAAATTACCAAGACAATGGGTGTTGATTCCAGACATACTGAAAAAAAAAATCTTAAGTTTAAACAATAACAATAGGAATTTAACAAAAATAATTTTCTTTTTGTTTGTGATGCATTTTTTAACAGACATGTTTGAAATTTAATCTCTTTCTTTTATAATAAATAATATATACAGTATATATTTTTCATAACATGATAAAAATTAAGCCGTTTAAATCCATCTTCCAACGTGTCAGACTCGTCAGAATCGAAGCCCGGGTTTGAGTTTATTGACGACGAAGACGTTGACAGCTGTGACAGAAGATCTTAATCTCTGATTGATCCAGGCGGTAATTAGCCAGTGACGCCTCAATTAGATGAACCATGGGAAAAAGTGTTTACGTTTGAAAAAAAAAAAATAATGTGAATTCAAACCCCTCCAACGATCCCAGTTCTCCACCCTCCATCCTCCGCCCTCCACCCTCCGCCCGTACCTGAACCTGTGCTCCGTTCTGGGCCACGTCACTAAGTGTAGCCTGACAGACTTGACCCTGGGCCACACACACTCATTCAAATCCTGGTTAAACGATTAGCGGCTGATTTTCCCCCTCCAAACTCCCACCTCCTCATCGATTAGAGCGGCGCCCCCTGAAGGCCTCTCTTACCACATAATTTCCCTGTATATTGATTATGTATATTGATTACACCTCAGCCTACAGGAACGCCGTGGCGGCGCTGCTTTAACGCAGTGAGAGACATCAGTGAGAGAGAGGCGGAGGCCGGGAGACTCCAGACTGACAATCTGGGAGCCAGATTATTCTGTAATCTGAGGGGATTATTGATAATTTAATTTATTAATTATTGAAAAGTATGAATAAACAGGCCTGTTATTGTGATACGATTAATTCATGTATTAATTCAGACATTAATACATAACAAATGTGTATTTACATAAAAACATAATTAATATGTAGCCCTTAGATATATTTTCTATATTTATATGAAGGTTTTCAACAAGAGGTTTGCGGCCCCTAGAGGTCAACTGAGGTACATAGGAAGATATAAATACATATATATATATATATATACACATATATATATATATATTTCATAAAGCGTCAGTAACACGTTGACCCACAGCAGCAGTGGGCCACACTTTGACATTGCTCCACACACACACACACACACACACAGACACCACAGTCCTGCCAGAGCCGGGATTTAAACCCACAATATTCTCAGATTACAAACTTGACCCTTTGACCACAGGGTCACGGCTTTTAATATCAATGAGAAGATAATAATTATAAAAAATATTAAATATGAAATAATAAACAAAAAACAACTGAAATATGTAACTATTTCAGAATTCGACACTTTTTAAATTAATAATATAGCAAAAATCTGCAAGAGGAATGAACCACTGGTTTTATATGTTAAGGAAAGGAAGGAAGAAAGTAGGAAGGATACACATATATAAATATATAAATGAAGAAGGAAGGAAAGAGAGAGAAAGGAATCAAAAAAATAAAAAAGAATGAAAGTAGAAAAAAACTAACAAAGAAAGAAAGAAAGACTAAAGAGGCTTCAGAAAATTGGAAAAAGGAGGGAGGCTGGGAGGAAAGGAGGGAGCAAAATCCGAAGGGAGGAGTCAAGAGAGGGAAGGAGCAGCTGGAGATCCACACTTCGCCCTCCTCTCTCTCTCTCTCTCTCTCTGTGTCTCTCTCTTCTCCTGTGAAAAAAGCGCTCTAAATGTAAAACCAACTCTCCACGCGCTCCTCCGCTGCACCTCCGCTGCTCCTGTTTGTTTTTTGCGCACATCTGCGCTCTGCTGTGGGCACAGACCATCGCTCCACACTCCTGGTGTTCTGTCCGGCGGTGTTTGAAGACACAAAAGTGTGAGAACAAGAAGAGGGACGAGGAGGAGGAGGAGGAGGAAGAGGAGGAAAAAGTCTGGCAGCGCCGATTTGGAGTTGGAGTTGCAGCGTAAGAAGAAGAAGAAGGAGAAGAAGAGAGAGAGAGAAAACGTCCGGAGCAACTCCACAAACATCTGCAACTTCGACCGAGGAGGAGGAGAAGAAGAAGAAAGAACACAACTTTTTTTTCTCTCTCCAGTCGTCAGAAGATTTTTTTTATTGTCCCCAAATCCAACGAAGACGAGAATTACCAGGGAAAACACCCAGAAAGAAGTAAGTACCAGAACACGAGCGGTTAAAAAAAAAACGCTGCTGCGCGTAAAAACCGAGCGCTTGTTAAAGTTTGTGGAGAGGCAGGCGGTCGGAGGAGGAGAAGGAGGAGGAGGAGAAGGAGGTTTCACGTTTCAGGACGATGTGAGTTTTAGATGCAGAAAAGGAGAAGTTTGAGTGAATGGGAAACTACAGATTTTTTTTTTTTTTTTTATTTTTCCCCATTTTTTCCCCCTGAAAACTTCGGAAAGAGTTTTCAGGTTTGGATCGAGGCGCGAAGGCTGCGCTCCGCTGCCCCGAGCGTCTGGATGTGATTTATTCCCTGTGAAAAAGTGGAGGTGGCCGGAAAAGCCCGGATGACACACTTCACACAAGTGTCCGAGGCACAGATGTGTGTGTGTGTGTGTGTGTGTGTGTGTTAAAGTCACTCAGAGATGCAGGGAGAAAAAAAAAAACATTAAAAAGTCGAATTTTATGCTGAAAAACACGTGTTCGAATCCCTCCAATGAAGTTCTGTGAAAGTTTTTTGGAGCCCTGCCTAAGACAACGCTGGTGGTGGGGTGAAGCGTGTGTGTGTGTGTGTGTGTGTGTGTGTGTGTGTGTGGGGGGGGTGTATTTATGCGTGCATGTGTGTGTGATTATGTTTCGGTGTGTGTTTATGCTCCTGTTTATCCTGGAAGATTTGCAGGAAAGGTTAATGGAGATGTTGGGGAGTGGGGGGGAAATCTGGGGGTAAAACAAAAAAAAAAAAAGCTCGGACAGTTTTATTTTCTCTCCCACTTTACAACCGGGCATGTGGTTGACCTCTGCCATGACCATTGACATTTGGATATAAATAGTTTTACAGCCAAGATTATTTTAAACTTTAATTTAAGGGGATTTATGTTTCCTCAAACTGACAGACGGACGGAGCGGACCAGAGGAAAACACCTGGAAAAAAACCCCCCAAAAAACACATCTGCAGTTAAATTCACCAATCAGTCAATTGTTGTCATGTTCTCACACCATTTAAATCCTTATTTAATTTTCTTCAAACTAAAAAAAACCCAGGTTTTAAACCAGGAAACCCTTTAAAAAAATTGGATTTTTTTGAATTCAGAGCCAAGATTTTGAAAATTAAACAACATAAATAAAAAAAAAGATAATTTGTGGCATCAGAGGATCAGAGCGTGTTTGAAGGCATGTGCTCGGAGAAATTTAAGCCCATTACAGCGGGGTCTGGATCACGGCGGGGGTCCACGAGGGGAGTTCAGTGGGGGCCAAGGATAAAGAAACGAGAGCCAGTAGAATAGACTGGATATAATGATAATAATTTTTATTTTTATATATTGTCGTTTTTCAAATAGAACAAATGACAAAGATGAGTTATTTCTGGTGGGTTTTTTTCTTTCTGTTCTGACACCAAAGCTCCAAACCCCCCCGACCCCCCGACCCCCCTGCAGAGAGAAGGAAGAAAGCATGTGTGTCTTCACACCACTCCTGTGTCTCCTATACTGGGGGGGGAGGCAGCAGGACATGAAAACCTTACACAACCCCCCCCCATACCTCCCCCCCAAACCTCCACATGTGCAGGGATTTTTGTTTGAAACTTTCCCTCCTGTCCTCGGCCAGCTGTTCCACATTTTATCTGCGTGTCTGCTCTCGGGTTTCACACACAGACGACCAGGGTCCGAGGTGACCGGCCACGCGGTGCGTCTCCAAACCTGCCCCCCCACCACCTCTTGTCCCCCCCTCTTGTCCCCCCTCTTCTTCTTCTTCTTCTTTTTTGGACACTCATGAAGCCGGGCTTCCTGTGCTGCATGACTGAGAATAAGATGTTTAACAGGACGGATAAAAAAAAAAAAAAAAAAATTCTGCTTTTATCTGAGTTTTTATGAGGCTGCTCCATCATTCATCATCACTGCGGCAGATTTGGCTTCCAGCACACAGCACAGTGTCCCCCCCCCCTCCCTCCGACCCCTCCACAGTTTTTCCAGGTCCTGGTTACAGTTGTCAAATAAAATTTTCTCTCCCAAAAAAAAAGAAGAAGAAGGGATTGACACATAAATTACCGCGTGCACTTTTTTCCCGTGTAAAAACTGACATTCCACAGGCCTCACAAGTGGAAATAAATCACTGTCACAGTGTTTCACATGTGGATTTTTTGGCCGTTTAGACTTTAAATAGCAACGCGGGTATTTTATTATTAGACTTGTCACTTTATGAAAAAATCATTTAAATATTTTTTTCCTTACGGTTGAGGGAAAAAAAAATCACCAGCTCCAAAAAAATCCTGCAGAGGTTTTTTTTTTTTTAATTCAGCCTTAATTTTGTTTTTTTTTGTCATTTTAAAATACATTCAGATCCACGTAATAACATGAATGTAGAATTTAACATGTTCTAAAAATATATGTCATGTCATATATTCATGAAATATATGAACGTCTATTTGCATATTTAAACAAACCTTTCTACGTCCCATATATACATGTGTAATAAACCAGTTTGACATGTAGTTAATAACTTGTATTTATTAACATTACTATTAAATATACGTAAATGATTTCTTCTATATTTTATGACTGTTACTAAATGTAATTTAAAAAAATATACTTCACTGTAATATGTTAATAGTTATTTAATTACATTCAAATGATCTGACGATGTGAAAATCCAACATCAATAAATATGTTTACATTAAAAAATAAATCATTTGCAATAAGTATGTTTAATATAATTTTAAATTAAACCCATCAATTATAACATACAGTGATATTTGGGCCTTTTTCACATTTGAGAAAATGTAATTTAAAAAAATAAAATCTGTCAAATATTTTTCTGCGTGACATTAAATCAATTTATAAGTAAAGCAAAAAAAAAAAACTATAAATGTGTTATCAGTGATAATTATGTTATTTTAAATGTACAAATTGCCATGTATGTAGTGACAAAAATTTTAAATGTACAGAAAAATATGTTCATATTAATTTTGACAGGTGTCAAACAGGTGCACCTTTTTTAATCTGAATTAGAAAAAAAAAACTGTACCTCATTCAGATGCAGCAGCTGTGATGAATGCTGCAGTGTTTAAGATGCTAATCTGCAGGAATGAGATGCACAACTTCCCCGGCCTCTCGCTCACAGTAGCCGGCAGAGATGCATCACCACCGCTCTCCCAGCCTTCACCTGCTCCGCGCCTGAGGAAAACAGGCGGATAACGTTTCCCTCCGCTGCAGCAGCGTGAGTGCGTTAGATATCAGCAGCAGCAGCAGCAGCAGCAGCAGCAGCAGTTTTATCTGCAGGCTTTAAGAACAAATATGCATCCATTGACAGCGGCGGCCCAGGCCGCAGCCGTGACCTGGCAGAATAAGCAGTGTCATGTTAATGCAGGGAGATGACATTAGCTATTATCGTTGGAGCTACGGGCCGCTACCTCTGTGTGCCTGTGAAGGCCCTCGAGCCACGTTCTGCCTCCAGGCCTTTCTCTCTCTCTCTCTCTCTCTTTTTTTTCTTAGGACAAATACCTGTTATCAGGTCGGTTTGGACGAGGCCTTAATGAGCTGCGTTGTTGTGCTAATGCTGCGACCTAACGCCCTCAAAGAGGTGGCAAATGTTTAGTTAAAGGGAGGCTAATGAGAAAGGAAGCTGATTTTCCTGCAGATAACGACGTGCTTTCACACTGACGTCATAAGACGGGAAACAGGTCGAAGAAAAAAAAATGTTTGACAGACTTGACAACAGGGAGAATCTTCTCAAAATGTTTGGCTGAAAAAGGCCAACATAGAAAACGTTTTTTTTATCTTATCAAACTTACAAATTTAAATATTTATGGTTAAATTTCAGTTATTTAGAGACAGTCCCTGCAATTTCCCCCCTCGAAAAATACTATGTATTCGAGTTATATATAAATTTCAGTTATTTAGAGACAGTCCCTGGAATAAACTCCCCCCCGAAAAATACTATGTATTGGAGGTATATATATATTTTTAGATTTTACGTATTTGTCCTTCCGTGGCAGGCTTTTCAGTAGCAGGCAGATCTGGACTGCAGGCCGGCCGGTGAATGAAATGTAAATGAAGCTGCTGTTTGCCTTTTTTTTCTTTTAACCCAATTTGCACTTTTTAATCCATAATCGTGCAGAAAAATGTGCCTCAATCCAGATCAATGCAGATAAAAACACTTGAAAATAAATCACCGGGACTGTATGTTGACAGCGGAGACAGATTTATCAGGTCGTTCAGACGATATGTAAACCGTGTTTTCCATGAAAGATGTTTATCTCCCAAATGGAATATTGTTAGTTTTCGCTCACTTTGAGCTGTTGTTTAACTTGTACTGAGATTCTGACGACAAAATTACATTTATTCATTTTCTAAACCTTTAATAAATTGTAAAGAAAAAGAAAAAAATTATTCCAGGACCCAAAAAATACCCAAACACTGACCCATTTCTGTGCCACGACCCAGGCTTTGGGAACGAGTGATTGAACAGTTTAATGTTGAGTATGGTTTAAAAAAAAAAGAAGAGTAAAACTTTGGAGTAATTACACGGGCGTACTGTGAATGATGGTCGCCATAAGAAACGTCTGACTTTGATGATCGGCTACTTTGATATGTTGACATCAAATGGAACAGACACAGAAGGGAGAGAGACAGAGAGAGACAGAGAGAGAGAGAGGACAAGTCAGACTCAGGGCGAAGAAAAGGCCGTGTGACAGGATATGTGTGTGTGTGTGTGTGTGTGTGTGCGTAAGTGCTCTTTGGTGCAGAAAAGTTGGGCCGAGATGGCAAACCTGAGGGGCGTCAAAAACGTCTGGGTGTATTTGCGTGCGAGCGCAGAGAAGAAGGGGGTCCTGGGTGGGTGTGAGGTTCTTCTCCTTGGCCTCTTAATCCCCAGGCCCAGTCATCCCTTCAGGGCATGCCTCAGATCTGGCGCTCTCTCTCACTCTGGCTCTGCGGCTGCAGACGACCCAGCTCCGGCAGCGGATTTATTATGCTATGTGTTCCTGCTCCCCCGGCTCCCCT